GAATCCTGCTATATTCTTCAAGATCTAAATCAAAGGCCATGTCCTACAAAAAACTTCCCCATATGGGCGTCTACCCAAGTAATCAATACTTCCATTTTCACCAGAACATGTTGCTTATATATCTAGTAACATATTTATTTCACCCTACCTCCTAATAAATATGTTTATACATCTCCAACTATAACAGCCTTTGCGTGGTCTTCATTAGTCATAGTAGGTCTGCACTATTTCTGAATCACCAGACAGCACCTAATACATCTTATACATATAAGGCAGGAGATTACCATATTATTTCTCTGTTAACAAAAGTTTGGTTCTTCGCAAAACCTTTTTTCATTTATGACTTTAAGGAATAGGTAAAGAATAGAATCCCTCTTTCTCTGCCACCAAATCATCCCCTACTTCCTAACTTTCTTACTTCTCCCAATGGCAAAACTACTGAGACCTTAGAATCTCCTGTATGTCTTCTATCACCTACACTGCCCAATCCTGTACTAATTCCTACAAAACACCTTTTGCATTGTTGCCATTACTAACGTCTTTCTTCTTTTGCTTTTATTGAGACTATTACAATAGGTTCATTATTAGAAACATTCACACAATCAATACTAAATAGGATCTAATAGCAGTCTCAAAAAATATATGAAGCAAAAAGAGTGACATACATACACACATTCAAAGTAATACCTGGATATTTTGACAATCTTCTATAAGTTATTGGTAGAAGTATACAAAATCAGTAGGGATACAGAAATCACCAGGGACAGAGAACGTTACGAAACAACTTGGCATAACTGATATTTACAAAACTTTTCATAACAAATGCAGAACATTACTTGTTTTAAACTGCACATAGAAAATTCACTAAGACAGGCCACATTTGGGGCCATAAAACAAGTCCTTATAAGTTTCAAAGGATGAGAATCATGGAAAGTATATTCTATACCCACAAGGGTACTAAGTCAGAAATTGATAATACAGTATGTAGAAAACTCTCCACATAACTAGAAGTAGTGCACTTCTAAAAAAATCCCATAGGTCAAAGAAGAAATCACAAGGGAAATATTTTCTAATTCAAACTAAATGATAATGAAAACATGATATTGCAAAATTTGTGGAATACATTTAAAGTGTTGCTAAGATAGCAATTTATAACTTTAATGATGATATTAAGAAATAAAGGTATTAAAATCAGGCTCAAGAATCCAGAAAAAAAGCAAATGATACAAAAATTAAAATAAAGAAAACAATAAAATTTGGGATCAATAAAACATTAAAAAGACAAATAAAAAAGTAATTCAAAGGTTGTTTCTTTGAAAATATTAATAAAATTAATAACACACTCAGCAAGTCTTATAAAGAACAAAAGAGAGACAATGAGAGAAAATTACCAATATCAGGAATATAAGAGGAAGCACCAGTACAGACCTCACAGAAATGAAAAGAAAAAGGAGATATCATGAAAAATTTTAAGCCAATAAATTTGACAACTTAGATGAAATGAACAATACTTTGAAAGGCACACATTAACAAAACTAACTCAAGAAGGAGAAATTCTGAATAGTCATATAGCTATTAAAATTTTTGAATTTGGGGGCACCTGGGTGGCTCAGTCAATTGAGCGTCTGACTCTTGATATGAGCTTAGGTTGTGATCTTGTGGTTGTGAGATCAAGCCCCATCAGGCTCCACACTGAGCATGGAGCCTGCTTGGGATTCTCTCTCTATCTCTCTCTCTACCCATTCCCCTGCTCACACTTTCTCTCTCTCTTTCACTCTCACTCAAAATAAAAATTAAACTTAAAAAAAAAAAAAAAAGACTTTGAGTTTGAAATTTAAAACCTCTCCCAGACAAAAACTACAGGCCTAAAAGCTTCTTTAATCAATTCTATCATACATTTAAAAAGAAATAATACACACTTCATACAAATGTTTCCAAAACATAAAGGCAAAACACAACTCATTTTAAAAGGTCACTGTTATACTAACATTCAAATCAGATAAAGACATTAGAAGAAGCTACAGAATATTCTTCATAAACATAGATGCAAAAAATCTTACTATTAATAAATCAAATCCAGCTATATGTAAAAGGAAAAATACATTTTGATAGAGTTTATCCCAAAAATATAAGGTTAGTTTAATACGTACTGGAAGTTCCATCCAGTTGATTAAGGAAAAAAAAAAAAAAAAAAAAAAAACAAGCAGGAGAACCAAAACTGTCCTTATTTGCAGATGACATGATCATGTACAAAGAAAACCCTAAGTGCTAAGAAACCAAAAACAACAATAACAACAAACAGCTAACAAAAAAGCTACTACAACTAGCAAATGAGCTTAACACGGTTGCAGAATACAAGGTTAATACATACAAAAAATATCAATTGTATTTCTATTAGAAAAGAATGTTGGAAATTCAACGTTTAAAATGACATTTAAGGGGTGCCTGGTTGGCTCAGTCGGTTGAGCGTCCGACTTCAGCTCAGGTCATGATCTCACTGTTCATGAGTTGAAGGCTCACATTGGGCTCTGTGCTGACAGCTTGGAGCCTGGAGCCTGCTTCCGATTCTGTGTCTCCCTGTCTCTCTGCCCCTCCCCTGTCAGGCTATGTCTCTCTGTCTCTCTCAAAAATAAATAAACACTTAAAAAATAAAAATAAATAAATAAATAAAATGACATTTAATATAACATCATAAATAAGAGACAAAGTAGGAATAAATCTAAAAAAGATGTTCAAGACCTGTTAGTTGAAAAGTATAAAATATCCATGAGAAAAGTTAAAAACCTAAATAAATGTATAATATACACAATGTTCACGGACTGGAAGATTCAATATTAAGATGTCCATTCTTAAATGTGTACATTCAACACAGTCCCATTAAAATACTAGTAGATTCTCTTTAAAAAACTGACAAGCTAATTTTAAGATGCATAAAAGAATTCAAGTGCTATATAGATATAAAACAATCAATACATTTTTATTAAATTTGAAAAGTAGAAATAAAAGAATCACCTTGAGAGATTATAAACTTTACAACTTATCTTCTGAAGCTTTTATGAAAAAGCTGGGCATTTGAAAATAATTACTTATGTGCACAAATATTTGGTTCTTTCTCCTTGGATTCATCCTGCTAACAGTTACAGTTATTTATAATATACAATTGCATTAATCCTTATACAAAAGAAATGATTTACTGGGTGACAATATTGACAATGTTTACTAAAAGTAAAACCAGGTTGCAATCTAGTGTCAGTGAATAATCTATAACATGTTCAGAGATCATACAGTGTTTTAGCTATAAATTCCATAATTAGATTCTGTTGTGGGGCACCTAGGTGACTCAGTTGGTTGAGTGTCTGACTTCGGCTCAGGTCATGATCTCAAGGTCTGTGAGTTTGAGCCCTGCATCAGGCTCTGCGTTGACAGCTCAGAGCCTGGAGCCTACTTCAGATTCTGTGTCTCCCTCTCTCCGCCCCTCCCCCACTCATGCTCTGTCTCTTTCTGTCTCAAAAATAAATAAACATTAAAAAACTTTTTTTTGAAAAAAAAGAAAAGATTCTGTTGTACTGTCTGTATGTGTGTGTGCGTGTGTGTGTGTGTGCGTGTAGAGGCATCCTCTGACTTTCACTACTAGCACAGTTTGCATCTTTCAAGTGCACTAGAGCGGTAGTTCACAAAAGATGGTTTGGGAACTATCTAAGACCCCTTATTAATAATATGAAGATATTATTTGCCTTTTTAAGAATATAATGTGGTCCTGATAGCAAAAAAAAAAAAAAATTGAGAATCACTGCAGTATAGCAATAAATAATTTTTAACTGGAACATGTAGAAAGAATAATCCTGATAACTGGGGCAACACCTGGGTGGCTCAGTCAGTTAAGTGTCGGATTGTTGATTTTGGCTCAGGTCATGATCTTACAGTGTGTGAGTTTGAGCCCCACGTCAGGCTCCCTGCTGACAATGTGGAGCCCTCCTGGGATTCTTGATCCCTCCCTCTCTCTGTCTCGGGCCCCAGCTCTCTCTCTCCCCCAAAAATAAATAAATAAAACAAAAAGAAGGAGGAGGAGGAGGAGGAGGAGGAGGAGGAGGAGAAAGAGGAGGAGGAGGAGGAGGAGAAGGAGAAGAGAAGGAAGAGGAGGAAGAGGAGGGGAAGGAAGAATCATCATCATCATCTTGATAACTAAAATGAAAAACCAAAACAAATTTTAGAGGATTATCATATGTCAAAGTTATGTTTTTCTTAGTAGGACCCTACATTAAGTTTCTTTCTTAAATTAATGAAGTTCACCAATAAAGAAAGACCTAAGCCTGACACAAGATACCCACAGGATTCCGATACACAGTGCTATTTTTCTTCTTCCCGTCACGATGCATCCCTTCTAGAACCAAACAGAAAAGCAGTTTTCCAAAGTTCCTGTCTAACTTGTAAAGTATTGCCTCAAACTCTCCTTCCCTTACTCTACTCTTTTTGCCATGGTGCTTATAACCTTCTAATATATTAAACAATTTACCTATTTATTACATTTATTTTCTGTCACTCCACTCAATACAATGTAAACTAAACAAGAGGACTTTTTTTCCCCTTTATTCACTGATGTATCCTCAGCACCTATAATAGTGTCCACGACAAAATTGGCACAGAGTAAATATTTATTGAATAAATTTATGAATATTTTACTGAAGTAAAATATAAACGTCAGCATTTTATCAGGGAAGAACACACATCTTACCAAATGCAAACTTCCTAATGGCCACGGACACAGGGCTATGTACATAGGAGAGATGTACTAGCTGAAGGAAAAACTCTCAGGGCGAACAGTTTCCTCTTCTGGATCCAGAAATGAAGAAAGACAGGGAGACCAGAGACAAGGAAAGGAGAGGGATTTGGAAATATTCCAAGTAGAGACAACGGAAATGGCTTTGTTTTGTTTTTTCCCTCAATCCTAGGATTCCACGAATGTAAACAAAGAAAAATAAGAGTAAGAACAGCTAACACACCTCTCTTCTCTTGTTGTATTTCTTCCAGAAGCTGCTCTTGTCTTTCTATCTGTTCGAAGAGACACTGGAGCTCAGATTCCTTGTTTTCGGTCATACTCCTCAGCTGTTGTCTGCACAGCATCAGCTCGTGCCGCAGACTCCTCTCTCTGTTTTCTCTCTCCTTCAGTTCCTCACAGAGCCACTTAAGTTTAGTCTAAAAAAATGACACATATATCTAATTTTTCAAAAAATCTAGAAAACAGTAGCATTTCAAAACATGAAGGAAAAGTCATGATAACTGAACAGACCATAGCAAACATAAGCAAAATTAAAAAAAAATCTATAATGTTTTAATTTCCATAATGACTTCAAAGATGGTGTCGAAATTAAGCCAAATTTTCTTGGATTTTTATAAAATATCTGATATCCTCTATCAGGTTTGTAAAGGTAATACTACAGAGAAGTCTGGCCTGCTGGATTCCCAGTCATACTCCAATTAGATCCCTGATGTGATATATAAGGCAATCTGGTACACTTTAAAGCATTTTAAAGTCAAACATACCACACAATAGAACTAGAGACTTGTTACAAAATAGAGTTTAATTCAAAGATTTTTTAAAAAAGAAAGATAAAATTCATAGTTTTGGTTTTAAAAATGCATATTCCCAAGGGTCCAGCTAATCGGGAAAAGATATTCTATATCACAGGAGGGAGACAAAGTTAGTATTTTCCCACATTTAAAAGACTAGGGAATTTAGTTGAAGCAACTCTCGTTTTCTCAGACTCTAACCACACCATCTTTATTAGTTAGATATTTAAATCAGGGATGAGTAAAAAATAAATAAATAAATAAATTTTTCTTTCACCTTCACTAGGACAGGATTTCAGTCATGTCTCAGGACCTTCCCAAGTGAGTCTATCCTTCAAGTTCTATTTGATTCTAAATAAAAGTCTTTACTTCAGTAAAAAGCAAATTAAAGGAAGAGTGGACTAAACAGGAAAGTTAGGTTAAGCTAAGGGAGAATTTTCTGGAACAGCATTCATCAGTAAGCAAGAAAGTTCTAGGCCTCCAGAAATCTAGGAAGTTCTCAGGATATGCCACAGTATATTAAAAGTAGCGGCAGTAGGATAGCTTATGATAAAGTGAGACTGGGATACAGCCGCTAGACTGGGGGATCCCCACATGTATCAGCTTTCAAACACCCCCCAGAACAGAAAAAGATGCCCAGTTTCTCTGGTCAGAAGGTCTGTCGAGCAGATGGTATCTCTATGACACAGAAGAAATATTATCACTAGTCAAATTATGGAAAAATTATATGATAATATTGTAAGATGACCAAGGTATAGTATGTGAATGTGTTACATGAAGGGAAATGGAGCTTGTAAAGGCAAAAGCTAGATCACATTTATCACAAACGCTCATCAGAAACAAAGGGGGGACTTCATGGAAGTTTGCCTTCCAGAATGATGGCACGAGGAGTTCTGCCAAGCTGCTCTTTAATGAAAATGCGAGGTGGAAGCTAGATGTGGGCAGGGGAAGGACTGCACCCTGCATGACAAAAGCCCCACTCCACGTTCTGGGAGGGTATTGCCAAGACAGGGGTCCCTCTTCCCCCAGTTCACAGTCAAGTTATATGGTATTGTGGCATAATAAGAAAGATATTTGGTCTTTGTCCTTTATTCTTGGCACACAGCTCCTAAAGCCCAGGAACTTCCAGAGTGAGAAGAATGTCCTTTGTTATTCATAACAAGCTCTTAGATTACACCCAAGCTCATGCTAATGAGGTGGTTTAGGTAGTTGAACCTACTGAGCCCCCCAGGCACCCCTAAAAACTCTTGAACAATGAGGTTGGATTAGCTTCCAGACTGGTGAATATAGCCACATGCCAGGAGCATGAGACATCCCCAAACACCACGGGGACTCTTGGAGACCTTGCCCTATATAGACCTTGCAGGTATAACCTCTTCATCTGGCTGCTTATTTGTATCCTTTATTATTTTTTTTTGTTTTCATATCCTCTTATGACTTTAATTTTTTTTATTTATATATGAAATTTATTGCCAAATTGGTTTCCATACAACACCCAGTGCTCATCCCAAAAGGTGCCCTCCTCAATACCCATCACCCACCCTCTCCTCCCTCCCACCCCCCATCAACCCTTAGTTTGTTCTCAGTTCTCAACAGTCTCTTATGCTTTGGCTCTCTCCCACTCTAACCTCTTTTTTTTTTTTTTCCCTTCCCCTCCCCCATGGGTTCCTGTTAAGTTTCTCAGGATCCACATAAGAGTGAAACCATATGGTATCTGTCTTTCTCTGTATGGCTTATTTCACTTAGCATCACACTCTCCAGTTCCATCCACGTTGCTACAAAAGGCCATATTTCATTTTTTCTCATTGCCACGTAGTATTCCATTGTGTATATAAACCACAATTTCTTTATCCATTCATCAGTTGATGGACATTTAGGCTCTTTCCATAATTTGGCTATTTGTATCCTTTATAAATAAACTGGTAAGTAAAGTATTTCCCTTAGGCCTGTGAACCATGACAGCAAATTACTGAACCTGGAGAGAGAGCCATGAGAACCCCCAATTTGTAGCCAGGTCAGAAGGAAGTGTAGGTAACCTGGGGATATCTGAATTGGGTACAGGTGGGGCCGAGCCCTTAACCTGTGGTATCTGTACTAACTCTGGTTAGTTTGTGTCAGAGGTGAATTAAATTGTGGGACACCCTGTTGGTATCTGCAGAGAACTGGAGAATTACCTCATTTGGAAAATTCACACATCTGGAATCAAAAGTGATGTGAGCAGAAACAGATCATAATAGTAAGTATGGCACTGGAAGGTCAGATGGCTAGGATTTTTCACCGTCATAGTTCTGATTTGAGTAGCTAAATTGCTGGCAAGTGAAGTGGACAAACTAGGGATTCCTTCCATTATCAACCCCTCACTGATAGTGTGGCCACTCCACCTCAGACACTGCAGCCTGAGAATAGTGGTATCCAATCTGCCATTTCCACAGACTGTTTGTGAGAAGGAGGGGCAAAAGCTACATGATCATATCAAGATTCAGAAAAAAGTGTATGATGAAATTAAACACCTATTCCCAATAAAGACACTGAACAGAAGGGAACAGAAGGGAAATTTTTCAACCTGATAAAACATTTTTATGAAAAGCCCATACCTATTATCATACTTAATGGTTAAAGACAGAATGCTTTATCCCTAAGATCATAAACAAGAAAATAAAGTCTGCTCTAACCATTTCTATCTAACATTGTACCAGGAGGTCATAGCAGGGCAATCATGCAGGAAAATATCATTATACATAAATCACTTGTATTTCTATACACTTGCATCATCAATCCAAAACTAAGTTAAAAAGACCATCTTGTTTACAATAGCATCAAAAGAGTAACATACATTTAAAAAGAAAAACATACTTTTAAAAAGAAGTTCAAAATTTATACTCTGAAAACTACAAAAAACTGTTGAAAAAATTAAAGAAGGCCTAAATAAATGAGAAGATTTTACATGTACATACACGAGAAAACTTAATATCATTAAGGTATTAAGAGAAATACTCCCCAAACTGATCTACAGATTTAATGCAATGCTTATCAAAATCCCAGCTGAGATCTTTGGAGAGATTGACAATGTGATCTTAAATTTCATATGGATATTCAAGGGACCCAGAATAGCCAAAAACAGGTGTTGAAAAAAGATCAAAGTTGGAGGAGTCACACTTAACTGATTTTAAAACTGACTAGAAAGCCAGAGTAATCAAGACAGTGTGGTACTGGCATTAGGACAGACATAGATCAGTGGAATTAAACCCATACATATATATTGTCAATTGATTTTCAACAAAGGTTCCAAAAACAATCTGATGAGGAAAGATCAGTCTTTTCAACCAATAGTACTGAGAAAACTGAATATTCACATGCAAAAGAATAAAGTTGGACCCATACTTCATACCATCTTCAAAAATTAATTCAAGGGGCACCCGGGTAGTTCAGTTGGGTAAGCACCCGACTCTAGATTTTAACTCAGGTCATGATTTCATAGTTCCTGGCTTTGAGCCTCGTGTCAGGCTCCAAGATATCAGTATGGAGCCTGCTTGGGATTCCCTCTCTCTCCCTCCCCCTGTCCTTCCCCCACTCTCTCAAACTAAATAAAATTTTCAAAAATTAACTCAAAATGGGTCAAAGACCTAAATGTAAGAACTAAAAACAGCAGATTCCTAGAAGAAAGCACAGGTGTAAGTCTTGGTAACCTTGGTCTGGCAACCTTGATTTCCTAGATATTACACCAAAAGCACAGACAACCAAAGAAAAAAGCTGTTAAGTTAGACTTCACCAAAATTAAAACATTGTGCTTCAAAGATCACAATTAACAATGTGAAACAACAACCCATTGAATAGGAGAAAATAATTGTAGACCATATATCTGAGAAAGAACAATTTAGAACGATACATAAAGAACTCAGTAATAAAAAGACATAATGGGGGCGCCTGGGTGGCTTGGTCGGTTAAGCGTCCAACTTCGGCTCAGGTCATGATCTCACGGTCCGTGAGTTCGAGCCCCGCGTCGGGCTCTGTGCTGACAGCTCAGAGCCTGGAGCCTGTTTCAGATTCTGTGTCTCCCTCTCTCTCTGCCCCTCCCCTGTTCGTGCTCTGTCTCTCTCTGTCTCAAAAATAAATAAACATTAAAAAAAAATTAAAAAAAAAATAAAAATAAAAAGACATAATGAATTAAGCAAGAGACATTTCTTCAAAAAACATAACACAAATGGCCAATAATCACATGAAAAGATGCTCAGAATCATTAAGCATCACAGAAATGCAAATCAAAATCACAGTGAGATTCCATTTCACACCCAGCAGGACAGCTAGAATCAAAAAGACATATGATAACAACTGTTGGTATGTTTGGAGGAATTAGAGTTCTTATATAATGATGGTAGGAGTGTACAATCATGCAGTCACTTTGGAAAACCATCTGGCAATTCTTCAAAAGGGTAAACATAGTTACCATATAACCCAGCAGTTCTACTCCTGAGTATATTTTTAGAAGAAACGAAAACATACAGTCATGCAAAAACGTGTAACCGAATGTTCATAGCAGCATTATTCATGATAGCCAAGAAATGGAAAAAACCCAAATGAACATCCACTGATAAATGGATGAGTAAAATGTGGTATATCCGTACATG